GGTCTGTTGTCGCGCAGGCCGGGAGCTCCCGCGCAGGCCAGGAGCTCCCGCGCACGCCGCCAGGTGATCGCAGGCAGGCAGGCAGGCAGGAAGCTGAAAAAAAAACCCCTCTGGGGTCTTTGGGGCCTTCCTGGTCTGTTGTCGCGCAGGCCGGGGGCTCCTGCCAATATTTTATTTTTTACCTCAAAATACTATCCGAGTGTATTTTGTTAATTTTTCATACCTTCTATTTTTTTGGAAAACCCTAAACATAGTTTCTCGTTGTTAAGGGTGAATACCTTTTCTTACATAATACATGCAAAGACTGAATATTAAGCGAATTAAGTATAAACAGTTTTGTTGTTTTTATATACCTATTAGTGGGGAAGCAAAGTATAAAGAAAGTTTACTAAAACTGGTACTATGCATTTATTCCCAGTTTTATCAGGACAACACTGCCCCCTCTTGGTATTCGGAGAAACCAATTTCCCTCTTTTTTTTTTTTTTTTTTTTTTTCTTTTGAAACAGGGTCCCCACTGTGTAGTTGAAACTGAACTGAAACTCACTATGTAGCTCAGGTTGGTCTTGAACTCACAGTGATTCTCCTGCCTCAGCCTCCCGAGTGCTGGGATTACAGGCGTGCGCCACCATGCCCGGCTACCAATTTCCCTCTTTAAACTCAAACATTACACTAAACATTCAGTTAGCAAGTTCAGTACAGATTGCTTCATTTCTCACAGCTGCTTAGCTGAGGCATTTTCCAATGAGAGAGGCAGTAAATGCTTAATGAGTCCTGACAAAATGTAATAATGAAGTCGAGCTGGGCTAGCTATCACAGACACACAAGCAAGCCTCTGAGATTTGGATAAACGTGATGGCGAAGGTGGGACCCGTGACCCCTGAGTCGGAACAGTGCTGGATTGGCTAAAAGGGTGGGTCTCCGCTCTGCTACTATGCTGAATTTTCCTTCTTCAGTCCCCCTACTCTGTGTGCCCCAAATCTTTGTATCTATGATTGCTCTGCTAAAAAGTCCCCTCCCCTCCAACCCGTGCATCCACACTCTCACCTTCATAAACTCATTTATGAAACCGTAAACTTTAACTACAAATCTCTGTTCAAATATAAAAACTACTGAAAATCCTTCTCCAACTCCCTCAGATAGTTGCTTCTCTTACAGAAATTTTGTTTTATCTTTACTATGATACCCACCATTATGTTTAAGTAGTTTGTGCAAGTGCTTTACTAATCTTTCCTACTAAATGTGTATGCCCCTTGAGGAATGGGATCTTATCTCTCTTAGCCTTCTTAGGACGCTGTAATAAAATACAATCGATTGACATATATGCTAAATGGGCACCTCAGTAGTCTTCAAAGAATTCCTTTTTTAAATTACAAACTTATATTTGGTGCAACTAAAGCTGCTAAGTCAAACATTGTATTTTATGGAAACTGTCACTTGCATTCAGATGTTTTCTATCACCTACCAACACCCTCTTTGTGTACGACTGCCAGTGCCAAAAAGAAAGGTTTCTTACTCCACCCTATCCAAGACAGCCTCAGCATCTACTGTGACCATATGGCAGTTACTGTAGGCTGCTGTGCTTGAATGACCCCTTCTCCCCATCAGTTTGGACAAATGTAGCAAATCAGTATGGACTGAGTGGCTTAAACAACAAACACTTATTTCTCGGTTTTGGAGACTGGAAGTCTGAGGTCAGCAGGCCAGCATAGTTGGGTTCTGATGAGGGTTCTTCTTCCTCTGAAAATGTCCATCCTCTCACTGAGTCCCTGTACAGGAGAAAAATAAATAGAGAGCAAGCAAATTCTTGGGCCTAAGGCACCAAACCCATTCACGAGGGCTCCACCTTCAAGACCTAATTACCCACAAAAGCCCCTCCCCCAAATGCCATCACATGGAAGTTTAGATTTTAACATATAAATAATTTGCCACCGATTTATGTTGTTTCAGGGACATTTTTATGATCTGGTTTTTAGTTTGCTCCCAAAACTTTATATTTCTCTACATACTTTGTTCTCTGCTGGTCTTATCTTCATCTCCCAAATCTTACTGTCAAATCATAGTTTTCCTCTCTAGCTACGCACAGTCCGCTAATACACTTGTACATTCTTTGGTGTTTTTATTCACTAGGTACAGAACAGTCTTGGCATGGGATGATAAATATTAAAAGCTAAAATATTAACTGGATTTATTTTCTTTTTCAATTCCTAGATAGAAGAGCGAGCAGAATTTTTGAATAAGTCTGTGCAGAAAAGGTAAATATGTTGATTGTTCAGTTGTCAGTGAGCAGCTGTAGGTGGAAAGATTCCACTCTCATATTTTTATGTATGTGTTTATTTAGCAGTGGTGTCAAATCAACTCACCAAGCAGCGGTTGTCTCCAAGATTGACAGCCGCCTGGAGCAGTACACCAGTGCAATTGAGGTGAGGGTTGCCTTCCAAACCACAATCCATTGAACGGACACAGGTTCTGACTACGTAAAAGATCAAGAGACATTGAGGCCAGTGGCCACAGTCATGTGGAATATTAATGGTGCTTTCCTTACAATCTTGCTTAATTCTCTTGTATATAAATACTCATTGTCAAATTAAAATAGTAGCATAAAGCAATATAAATGTGATAAAACTTGTTTAATTATCATCAATTTCCAATTGATTGTTTTATATTAGGAGGACCATAGTTTTATGCTTCTCTCTACTTCAATTTTTTTTTCTACCCCCCTTGACCTGAGGGTATTACTGTATTTCTAAGCACCAAAGCACTAAAAATGTCAGTGTCATTGGTCAATAAGTGTTTCTGGTTTGTTTTCCTTTGTATAGATTTGGGTCAATGATTTCAGTGTTCTCCTGGGTCAGAGCACCTACAATGACATGACTGGATCAGTTTGATTTGACTTTTGTCTCTCCTTTCTATCCTGCAGTGTAGGGCCAGGGATTTAGCTCAGTGGTTCCACCACCTGCTTCACAAGTGCGAGGTCCCAATTTCAATTCCTGGTAAAAAAAAAAAAAAATCTATTCTATACTGTAGGTGCCTATGAAATAGTTTGCAAATTATAAGAGGAAATAAGAGAGGGTGGTCTGCTGATTCCTCAAATGAATAACCAAGAAGTTGGTATCCACAAAAATATAAGATGAATTTCAGATAACTGTTTTCTGTGGTGGGTTAGTTGCACAGCACTGACAGGTTTAACAAATCCAAGCCTGTGCCCTCGGACTTTGCTGATTGGTGGGCTCATTTTCAGGCCACATCTACTTTGGATGCCACTTGTGTTGGCTGACCATCTCAATCGTAGGCACAGGCCAAAAAGCAGGGCCCGGAGAGACACTTGTATCATTCTAGATGTGCCTTTCATTACTGCCGCAAAGTGCCTCAAATGCATGCCTTCCTTATTTATATTCTCGCTCTCCTCCTTCCAGTGTAATATTCTCCATGCCGTGGTACCTCCGTCTTTCACTCAGGACCTTCCCACGTACTGTTATCTCTGCAGAGAAAGCAGTGGATTACTCCTGTCCCCTCTACCCCGTCCCAGTCTATTGTAAGATCTGGGTTTGAATGTCACTTCAGAGTAGCCTTTTTTAGCCCCTGGACTAAGTATTATTCATGTAACGTATGCTCTCTTGCCAGGTTTTGTAGTGCTCACTCCATTATTTTTCATAGCATTTACCCCAATGTGAAATAAATAGCTGTGTACCTAGTCACTGCTTCCCCACATATTAAAATGGAAGCCCACTGCAACTTCAGACCACATCATCTTGTTTTACTCACCCAGAGCCTAGCAAAACACCTTGCACAAAGTGGGCACTTAAAATGTATCTGAAGAAATGAAGTCAGCCATCACCCTAACAACAAGTATTGTCCAATAAAAGACATGTCGCGTTTCCATAAGACCCTTGGATCTTGCTCTTGAGGCTTTACTTTGAGGGCTGTAGATCATCAGAGTGAAGTTTTACAACAGAAATTATGACTCTGTGACAATGCTTACACAGTGAAATTTTTCAAGGAGCATGTTGAGGAAGACCAGCTCACTCTAATTTTATGAGGACAAACTTCTCAGTACTAATCCTAAAGATAATTCACACATTTCAGGGAACAAAAGCTACGAAGCCTACCAAACCAGCAGCCTCGGATCTCCCTGTTCCTGCTGAAGGCGTGCGCAATATCAAGAGCATGTGGGAGAAGGGGAATGTGTTTTCATCCCCCACTGCCTCAGGCACACCAAATAAGGTGAGCGTTCAACTTTTTTGTCCTTTTAGTTGGAGGAGTGGATTTTTTTCCCCTGTTTTATTTTTTCAGAATCATCCCAGTTCATAACAAAAGCAATAAAGTAGGTGCAATTTGTACTTTGTTTTGCAGTGACCATAAAAGCAAGCTCAGAGAGAATGTGTTCATGAGGCTGCCCTGTGCACTCAACCCTGAGCATGGAGATCTACATAAAGTGCCTGAGATTACTCTCAACCCTTGAGGGGTGGGGGTTTGATTGGGGAATAGAACCAGCTATTCTTTTAATATTAAGTTTAAGTTTTGTGATTATGTGAAATAATAATTAATGTCATTTTAAAGTTACTTTGTTTTGCTTTTTAAGGGCAGATATTTTTATTAATATATGTTTGCTACATAATGAATATCTGAATATATTCATTGCGTGGCATGGTACAATTCCTACTGCATCTTGATCCTTGAGGTTCCTATATAGATGGCTTCCCAGGTAAAATTTACTGCTGTTTTTAATACTTCAGATGATTGGCTCTTTTAGGAAACCGCTGGCCTGAAGGTGGGAGTTTCCAGCCGCATCAGTGAGTGGCTAACTAAAGCCCCAGATGGGAACAAATCGCCTGCTCCCAAACCTTCTGTAAGTAGCTCCGAGTTTTTCTGATCTCTCAGCTTCCAGCAGCCGAACAAAACAAGCAGTTGGTCTGTTTACCTAGGAAAGACCACTGCCCACCATCACAGCCAAATGCAAAGGAGTGAGCAAATTTAGCATGGTCTTGAGCAGCTGCACCAGTTACCCCGAGAGTAAACGGAACTAGACCGTCACTTCTCTGCCCTGACTGAAGGGAGGACTTAGCTCAGTTAAGGTGGATCAAATTTAGACCCTTTACTGGTCTACCTTCTATTTTGTAAATTACAGATAGGAATTTGAAAATGAAATGACAATTACTTTGTCTACTTCTCTATTACAAGCACCCTTAAACTTATCCCCCGCAAGAATGTATATGTTAACTATTTTGAACAATATTTTATAATTTACTTAATTTCTGTAACTTGGCACAAAAATGCAATTCTGGGGTATTTGTTGAAATAATTGCTGTAATTTTGTTATCAACATTTGCAAAGGGAATCCATAAGAAATTGAAACCAATTGTTCTAATAGCTAGTAAAACTAGAAACTAGAAAAACTGGTTATGGATGTTGATTTTCAAAATCTAAAATTTTCTTATTTATTAGGTGTAACTATCTTACTTCAAAAATATTCTTTTAATATTTTAATTGAATATATATAATTGTCTTGCATTTATCAATATAAATTTCTAAAACCTCATTAAGTTTCTCACTGTATAATGCTAAGCTCTCTCTGTTAAATTGGCTTTTTAGCTTTTAAGGCCCAATAGAGCCAGCTATGAGTCAACCTGCTACAGCCTACATCCTACAAAAAGACATTTTCTAAATGTTGGGTCTCTGAGCGACAATAGCATCTGCTGGTCCCAAAGTTAGCAAATTCTATCACTTTCCAACCTAAACAGAAAAAATAAAAAATGTAAATGTTTGTATGACCTCAGATGCTGCCCTTTGAGCTGTTTAATTACTATTCACCCTGAGATTCAGTTTTTTTTCTGTCTCCCAGTAGAAATAGCAAAGAGGGTCCTATGCAAAGAGACAATCAAGGGCAGAGATCATTTCCATATGGTGTCTTTTACTGCCTTAGTTCCACAGCACCCACATTACTTAAAGAGTAGAAATTATTTTTTAAAATAAACTATATTAGCCAGGCATGGTGGTGCATGCCTGTAATCCCAGCACTCAGGAGGCTGAGGCAGGAGGATCACTGCAAGTTCGAGACCAGCCTGAGCTTTACAGTGAGTTCCAGAGCAGTTTGAGCTACATAATGAGACCCTGTCTCAA